GAGTGGTGACTCCATACTTTTTGCCAGATGCTGTAGGTAGCTCATCTTAATACTCTCACAGCACAATTTGTATATTTAAATTGTATAAAAACAGACTGGAATTTAATGTCGTACTACTGCAAAACCAAATTAGTTTTATGAAGTTTATTGGCATTCTTTCACTCCAGAAAAATCACAGTAAGAGTTGAGTAATGTGAAAAGATACATAAATGTGCATTTTATGTGCACTCAATGTTGACACATACACATGTGTCTATGACCACTATAACTGCCTACAGTAAAACATGTATCATACGTTAAATGAACAAAAGATACAGTTACACAGATTTTATAACCACAGTGCTAATACCCGTCCAATTTTGAAACAGGAGTCCCATATACATTAGAAAACACAAGAAGCTGTATTAAAATGAGAAAATAAGGGAAACAATAAAGTTATTGTATTCTCACTAGTAAACATTGTGTTTCATCCAGCTCATTTTTGTCAAAAACTAAGAGACAGAAGAAACTCTGCAACAATAATGATGCGGCATATAGTGTAATGTTTGTGCAAGTTTTCTATCTGACTGAATTGCCCAAGGGCTTTTGATGTGATTTCCAAGGATTTTTCAATTTTGCCCTTGCCTCTGTGGAGGTCTGTGTATGTCTGTGCTCGGTGTTGTGGAAAATAGCAGCCTCTTTTGTGCTTCTGCTTTGCCCACAGGATTTATTGTCTTTATTACAAAGAAAGACCAGATATTTAAACACAGTGATGAAAAAAATATCATATCTAAATCTGAGTTTAAACATTCTCTTTGACTTATGTATAATAAAGTTTATGGTCATTACAAGACCCCCCAGAGAGTCTAATTACTTCCCTGGAGATTGTTGCTGAATTTAAGGAGAGCAATGGGAAATAAGATGTGTTCTTGTAGACAAAACTAAGCTAAAATAAAATGGGTATAGGAATTTGTTTCTGGTGATGGAAATACTGTATGCCATTTTGGCCACCTAAATTCGTTCTGGGTCAAGAAACCTTTTTCTTCCCTGATTTCTTGAAAAGTGTTGTCAGAAGAGTCCAAGAAGATTAAAAACCTTGTATTGGACACTGCTGTTCACACAATAAAATATGGTACTATTGTTTTGCGTGGCAAAATTTTGACGTCTGATTTTGATATTATATGTTCAAAAAAAAGAGCTGCACTGTGGCGCAGTGGATATCACAATTGCGTTACAGCAAGAAGGTCGCTGGTTTGAACCTCGGCTGGGTCAGTTGGCATTTCTGTGAGGAGTTTGCATGCTCTTTGCATTTCTTCCGCGTGCTCTGGTTTCCCCCTCAAGTCGTGCTATAGGTGAACTGAGTAGGCTAAATTCTCCATAGTGTATAAGTGTGAGTGAGCGTGTATAGATGTTTCCAAGTGATGGGTTGCAGCTGGAAGGGCATCAACTGCGTAAAACATGCTAGATAAGTTGGCAGTTCATTCCGCTGTGGCGACCCCAGATTAATAAAGGGACTAAGCAGAGTAGGAAATAAATGAATGAATGTTCAAAAAAAGCAAACACATGTACTTGCACTCCACAAAGTCATCCATTAAGCTTGAGCTACAGTTCGGTATTCTTTACAAAATTAAGTCTTTGTCTGTCAGACCTTTTTGTTTCCTTTGTAATTAGAATTGTTTTAACCACCATCATAATGTCAGAGCATTATGAAAACAGGTTTATCAGGTTGAATCCGTTATCTTGCTATATACTGGCATTCAAATCTTTGTTTTCATGAATGATTTCAATTATTGTTATTACGCTAGAGCAGGGGATTTGATGTACAAATAAAACCCGAAATAAATGATCATGCCACACCTTGTTAAGTTTTTTTTTTAAATAATATTTCAAAGTGAATACTTCTAGAATGTCATTCCCATCACGGTTATAAAACAGTTTTGTTTTGGGGTTTTTCTGTGTATTTAATAAATATGTGATGGAAAAACATTTTCCAGGAAGGAAACTTTCAGTAATAACAAGCCTGGGTTTAGGTTCTGTAATCGGTGTTCATTTTCTTTTCCTTGCTATGATATAAAACAAGAATTAATGATGGAGGAGGAAATGTAGGCCAGTAATCATTTTAAAAATGAGGCTGGGATGTTGCGGTCATCCATCAGCATTTTGATTTATGATCATTTCTTTTTAATGAAATGGCATGGGTCAACAGAGATTAAACACCCTTGCTACTGTATGCTTTCCGTTGAAAATGAAATCATTCATTCATTTATGGGCTCCCAGATCTTAACAGGAAAGTCATTTATGAAAGGAAAGTTCACCCAGGTGAAAGATAATCCTTTATTTTTTAGTGAATGTCATTGTCGAATCGATCCCATTTAATTTGTTTGCCCATTTTAAAGGGTTACTTGGCCCTGGGTAAAGTGATTTGACTGAATTAGCTGCAAAATATTCAGTATATTTTATTTGTAATTATTATGTTCAGTTGTTTTTTGGGGGGAAGCCATTGTGTAGATCAGTTGATGTTAATCTAATTAATTGCTAATCTGTGTCCACATTTACATTTTATTTTCTTCATCTTACATAATCAGCATTTTTTGTTTTTGTACATTTCACATTAAAAATAGATCAGCATTAATAAAAAGTACCTCCAAATCACCCGCAAGCACCATGGTTGTTTTACATCCTTATGTCCTTCATAAATGCCTGATTTCACTGTGTTTGCTTTGCTTTAGTTAGTTTTTCAATAGTCATTCATCTTCCCTGTGACTACTAATTTGTTTTGAGCCTTACCATCTTCCTTGGTGGCCATTTTGTTCCAATACCATGGAATTTATTAGTATCTTTGCCCTCAAATCTTCTTAGCACAGTGATGGCTGAATCTTGAGAGAGAAGGTGTTCAGTTTAAGTATGTTGCTGTGAGTAAAGCCTGTAGCAAAGTCAAATCTTTGGCGGACAAGGGGAGAAGTTTAATGGTTTGGAATTATTTAAGTATACTGCAATAGTGATTGTGATATTTTTAAATGACCGCAAACAGCAGAGCTTTAAAAATTAAATGATATACTTAATATATAATTAAGTATTGTTTATATTTAGCTTCCAGTTGGATTAGCAGACTAGTCATGCGTAGAATTAGCTTTCTGTTAAAGTGCTACAATAATAACCTAAAATAGATTCAACATTTAAAGTAGGTCCTTTTAGTGAGAAGTCACACCTGTTTATTTTTTGTTTAGTTTTTTTTATGCAGAGATTCAGACTTTATTCTGAGACTAGGACGTGAGACCCACTCAAGTCTTAACATTATTATTAATTACTCACCCTAAGTCAAGTCAATATGTATTTCTATAACACATTTAACACCAACAGAACTTGTGCCCAAGTGCTTTACAAAAAACACACAAGAGTACCCTAATGTTTTTCCTAATGACATCACAATCTCCTGAGACCGTTCATCTTCAGACACAAAATAAGATATTTTAGGTGAAATCCGAGAGCTCTTTTATCCTCCATGGACAGAAACAATCCAGAGACATTCCATGTCACTTTAGTACTGTAGTCATATGAAGCTACAAGAACAATTATGTTTGCCAAAAAACCTATAAAAACAACTTTGTCTTCAACTTTAGATTATGGTGTGCATTTTTATTATGTGCAATATGACACATATGGCTCCAATGACATCAACTCATACTGCCCATAGTAAACACACTCTGAGGATGAGGGTCAGTAATTAATGACAGAATGTTCATTTTTGCATGAATTGTCCGTTTAAATATCTACAGTAAATGAGATGCTTGTGATCAATATATTTTTGTTTAAACTGACAAATTTTTTCATATTAGTTGGTTGTGTAAAGAAATAAAAAAACTTGATAGTTCTCTGAAAAGAGTCTTCTGTGTCATTTAAACGAGTATTAACTAAATTCTCACACAAGGTTATTTTACCTTACTTCAGTCAATGGGTGTTGTGCATAGATGGAGTTGCTGTGTTTCGACATTTGCACTACTCTGTGAAAACTGAACCAAAGTAGTTTTTTAATTTACTAGAACTTGATCTATGTTGAGCTGCTGTGACACTACATCTACATCGTAAAAAGCGCTATAGAAATAAGATGAAGGGAATTAAATTAATAGGAGTGTGGTATTGAACATGGAAAGCATGATTTGTTTTAAGTAGATCTTGGGGTAATTTCTTCTAGTATGACTTAATGACATGCATGCCAATTATTTTATGTGTAAATATGCTCATTTAATTGCTCATTTTCCAAAGAAGATGTTAAGGCCTTCTCTTTCCCAAAAAACTTTTGCAAATGGCAAAACATAAGCTATGTTTAAGGCTAGCCATCATGTGCATTTTGTCCTATTTCTCATATTTTGGCCATTCATCTACTAATTCTAAGCAACATGTTTACATTTATTAATTTTGATGAATACAGCCATGTCACTCTTTTGCCCAAGACTGGTTGCACTTAGGATTGAGCCTGGTCATTAACTGGATGGGAAACAAACTAGAAAACTATGTTACTGTTGGAAGTTATGTTATTAAGGCCACCAGAAGGGTGAGATGTTAAATTAAGATCCTGACTTTTGTGGTCTGTAATAGCGCTGCACTATATTGGAAAAATCTGATATTGCATTGGAGTCTAACAGTATTCTGGTACAGAAATTGAATAATCACAATGCAAAAAACAGCTTTTCTTACTTTGTAATGTGCTTTGGGTGTTTGGGTGTTATAAATGCAGTTAAGTTTCTTTGGAATCAACTCCATGGTCTAGTTCAATTAAGGCAACCATGTACCTAGAATACTCCAACACGTTTTGTTGAGCTTCCTAATAAAGTTATGGCCTCAAATCCTGAATTGTATTTCAGACAAAGGAGACATCAAACCATGTACTGGTAATGCACCAGAGGCAGGGCTAGAAACCAGTGTATTGTGGACTGAAACTGTGAAGCAGTTTGTCTTAGGACATATTGCCTAAAGAAAAATGAAAATAAATCAAAGTAAAATAAATGTGTTTCATTTTGCAGAGAGTCAGCGAGAAGGTTGGAGGGGCAGAGGGAACTAAACTAGATGTAGACTTTACGGAAATGGAAAAGGTAAGTTTCCTTCAGTAAGGTTTTTGAAGAAACATAGCACTGAGATTGTTTGATATGATTGTCAAAAGTGTATGAAACTCAGCTTCTTTATAAAAAAAATGTATGTGTAAATCTTTCCATTAATGGTGTGGTTTGTTAGGATATGAACTATATTTGGCTGTGATACTGTTACGATCCTTGATGGCAATTTGTCAAGGGTTAGAAAAGGAGTAACATAAAGATGACCAAAGAATAAACTGATGTTGAAGAATGGCAAGAGAAAACACCAAACAACAAATTAGCACCGCAAATTATTTATTGCTTCCACATTATTTAAAATATTTACAAACAATAAGAAAAAGTTGAAAAGAACCAAGACAAATAGGAGAGGGAACGCTCTGGTTACTAAAGTAACCTTCGTTCCCCGAGGAGGGGAAGGGAAATGCTATTAGTGGATTTGGATTATAAATCCACGAATGGGGATTTCGTTTCAGAAAGCCAATTGTCTGAAAGAGTATGAAACGGGCCAATGAAACGCCTATTAATTGGCAGCATAAGCTTGCGCACCTGGAACTTATTGCCAATTATCTCCACATATAAGCACAGGTGGAGCAAGCACACGCTATCCTTTTAAGTTGAAGAGACTGAACTAACAGCTAAGGAATAGTCATTATGGTGATGCTAAATAGCATTTCCGGGGTTACTTTAGTAACCAGAGCTATCCCCTTCAGATGGGGAACTCCAATGCTATTAGTGGATTTGGATTATAAATCCAAGAATGGAAGAAAGTATGGAAAATGCCATAATGACTGCACTTTACCTACACCTCCGATGAAAGGATAGCCAAGCAAGCGTGAGCGCTCCTGCATCCAGAGAGGCGCAGTCCTCCAACGGGGTTCCTGGCCCTTACTTATCCCAGTTCAACAGAAGTTTTACAGATTTAGATATATTTTTTGGGATGCCGCAAGCGTCTAGATAACTCTAGGAATAATACGACAGTACGTTGGGAAGTCCCGATAGGGAGGACGCTGCAGAGCCCAACTGCACCCAATGGGGGAGATATGTTGGCAAAAAATACATATGGACTAGCCCTGAAGGGGGAGTACGCATATAATAGGATGGTTAGCAGAGAGGGAAGACACGGGTCCGCCCGTGAGGGGAGACTGCACCGTGGCTGAATAAGCATATGGGATCGCCTAGTGGGGATCACGCATAGCGGGCACCTATACCCAAAACGCGGGCTGACCAGCAGCAGACCTACAGCATAGTGGGCCAGCAAGTGACTCCTCCGCTGAGTCAGTGGTGGGGTCCACGGAGGAATCTGCAGGGCTCACCTGACGGGGAACTTTACTGACAGATAAAAAGGCGCACGTATCTCCGTGTTAGGGAGAAGGGTGCAGCAAGCGTGTTTCAACACCTAACCGAATTGTTTCCTCAATCACCAAGGGTTACCTAATACCCTTGAGGAAACCGACCCTCTAATCGATATCAACGCGACCAGCAGAGCTGTCTTCTGATGCAGGCTTGTGTGAACGAGGGCAAGATCCTGAGAGGGCATGAGAGGGGGGCGGGTGGATTAATTCGCCTAGCGCCTCTGAGGGACCGGATGATTATGCGTTCCCATGGTGCTGCCAGCTACCGCGTCATGACAGCGGAGATGGCAGCCACATAACCTTGAGTGTGGTGGGCGACAGCCTGCTCTCCAGCTTCTCTTGGCGTAAGAAAGCACAACGCTGATCTGGCAAATTTGGGGGGTCTTCTCAGCGAGAGACGCACCATTCAGTGAATAGACTCCACTTCAGGGCGCTGGAGGAGGGGGCTCTAGCCAGAGTGACGGTATTAACCACCGCAATCAGTAGGTTACCTAAGTCTTCCTCGCGTCTAAGGACCACCCGTGGAGGTTCCAAAGACCGGGGAGAGGGTGCCAGATGGTGCCTGTCCCTGAGAGAGTAGGTGCTCTCTCAAAGGGATCTGCCAGGGGAGGGCCATCGCGAGGAGGGAGAGCTCAGACATCCAGGTCTGGTTCGGCCAGAGGGGCACAACCAGCAACCTGTTTTTCGTCCTCCCTGACCTTGCACAGTAACTGCGCAAGCAGGCTCACTGGGGGAAACGCATATTGCGCATGCCCCGAGGCCAGCTGAGAGCCAGTGCATCCGTGCCGAGAGAGCCCTCGGTCAGGGAAAAAAACAACTGGCAATGAGCGTTCTCGGGGGAAGCAAAAAGAATGATCTGGGCTTCCCCGAATCGTGCCCATATCAGCTGAACAGACTCGGGGTGGAGTCTCCATTCTTCAGGACGTAAGGCTGCCGTGAGAGCGCATCGGCTGCACGGTTGAGCTTTCCTGAAATGTGAATGGCGCGCAGCAATTTCAGCCGCGGATGACTCCGGAGGAGGAGACGGTGGTCAAGCTGAGACATACGGCGAGAGCAAATACCCCATGCGGTTGATATACGCCACCGCCGCCGTGCTGTACGTGCTGGAAGCATCTGTTGAAACAACAACATGACTGGACGCCTGTCCTAGAGGCCTTCCGGCCTGTAGGAACGAGGGGTCGTTCCAAGGGCTGAGGGCGCGGCGACACAGCGCAGTACAGAGACTCGGTGTGCGCGCGCGTGCCATTGACTCAAATGGAGTAATCCAAGAGGCATGAAGCAGCTACGGATGCCATATGCCCCAGGAGCCTCTAAAATAATTTCAGTGGGACCATTATTTTGCTGTAGAGCTCTTTCAGACAGTTCAGTATCAGCTGAGCGCGCTCTCCGGAGATGCGCGCTGCCATGGTGACCGAGTCCAGCTCCAGCCCGAGAAAAGAGATCCTCTACACGGGGGTGAGTTTGCTCTTTTCTCGGTTGACCTGAAACCCCAACAGGTGGAGGTGCCGGAGCACCTTGTCTCTGTGCATAATCAATTGTTCTGAGAGTGGGCTAAAATCAGCCAGTGGTCGAGACAATTGAGTATGCGGATGCCCGCGAGCCGAAGGGGCGCTAAGGCACCCTCCGCGAGCTTGGTGACGACCCGCGGAGATAGAGAGAGCCCAAAGGGGAGGACTTTGTATTGCCAAGCTCGACCTTCAAGCGCAAACCACAGAACTGACGGTGGCGGAGAAGAGTGGAGACATGGAAATACTCGTCCTTCAGGTCTATTGCTGCAAACCAATCCAGAGGACGAACGCACCGGAGGATGCGCTTCTGCGTGAGCATTCTGAACGGCAGCTTGTGCAGACAGCGGTTCAAAATGCGCAGAACTTCGAAGGCCGATTCGCAAACTGAATCACATAGCCGAGTCTGATTGTGCGTATGAGCCACCGCGAAGGGCTGGCCCGTGCTATCCAGGCAGGCAGAGCTCTCGCTAATGGACTCATCGCTACAATCGCTGACGTACCAACAGTGGGGCAGCGCGGAGTAGGTGTGCTGATCCGGGAAGTGTGAGGATCCCGCGGAAGAGCTGGAGGCGAGAGATTTGCTCCGCACCCAAACTCTGGAGGGGAGGCTCGAGGGGTGGGCAAAAGGAGACCATCCTTCCAGCGCTCGTGAGCCACTAGCGGGCTTACGTCCCAACGATAGGTAAACATTACCCATCGCCTCGGTCTGCTCTCTCACCACCTTGAATTCCTGGGTGAATTCACAGACAGTGTCGCTGAACAGGCCAGCTTGGGATATGGGGGAGTCAAGAAAGCGGACTTTGTCGACTTTACGCATATCAGCCAAGTTTAGCCAGAGGTGGCGCTCCTGGACCACTAATGTGGACATCGTCCTCCCCAACGCACACGCAGCGGACTTAGTGGTCCGAAGAGCATAGTCGGATGCGGTGCGAAGCTCACAAGCCTGGGTTGCTTGGTAGCGCTGGTAGGTGACCATCGCGTGCAAGGTGGAAGCAACCTGGCCCGCAGCCATGTAAGCTCTAGCTCTGAGGGAGGCAAATAACTTACAGGCTTTGGACGGGAGACGAGGCGGACCCCGCCAAGAAGAGGTGCCACGCGGACAAAGATTGACCGCAATAGCACGCTCAACCTGAGAAATCGTCACATACCCCCAGGCTGCTCTACCGTCAAGAGTGGTGAGGGCGGAGGGACACGCAGCACGGGCAGAAAAAAGTGCCCTCCAAGACTGCGTGAGCCTACTGTGCACCTCCGGGAAGAAGGGGACGAGAGGCTTCGAAGGCTTCGCCCTCTGGTCCTCTACGTAGCACCCATCTAGTCGGTCCGGCCGCGGAGCTGGGGGATAAATCATCTCCAACCCACGGCCGAAGCAGCCCGGGAAAGCACGGCTAACATGTCCGTTTCAAGATCCGTTTTGACAGCTCTCACCTGCCCGGAGGGGGTGAGCGGGTCTGGATCATCATCGGACAATGAAAGCCCACCCTCCAATGCAGCGGTGGACGTCTGATCTCCGGTGTCATCGAGCGTGAGGGCTACCATCTGTTTAGACGGATCGCTTCCCCCGCCCGAAGATTGGATGGAGCGCTTGGAGGAGCGAGAGGTAAGCGAGCCCGTGGGCAGCGGATTATCTCCCGCTGAAACCCTCGGATCTGCCCGAGTGCCCACTGCAGAGCAGGGAACAGCTGGGGTGGTTCGCCCCTTTGCAAGGGCTAGCCGCGATTTTAATTGCGCAACAGTCATGGCATCACAATGACGACATGGACTGCCTGCAAACACCGCATTAACATGTAACGCAGTGATCGTGCCCATCATCAGGAGACAGGAAACCACCGCTTCCAGAAATGCACAGTCGGAGCGCCATCCTGAAAAGGACATGCTGCACGACTATGTTGCTCTTTTAGAAACTAACAACTTATAGGCACCGCTCTGGAGGACCGGACCCAAAGAAAGCCAGGCAAGGGAGAATCCCAGCTCGACCGTCTGCTGCCGTGTGTACCCACTCTGGACCGGGAGAATTTTCATTCGCTCGAATTGCTGTAGAAAGCAGGAGGAACCCTCATCGACTCAATCAGAAGGCTGTGAAGTCTCTGAAGTGAAAAGGATTGCGTGTGCTTGCTCCACCTGTGCTTATATGCAGAGATAATTGGCTACAAGTTCCAGGTGCGCAAGCTTACGCTGCCAATTCATTGGCATTTCATTGGCCCGTTACATACTCTTTCAGACAATTGGCTTTCTGAAACGAAATCCCCATTCGTGGATTTATAATCCAAATCCACTAATAGCATTTCCGTTCCCCATCCGAAGGGGAACTGAAGTTTGTGCATGCAAATCAAAGAAATAAATATGACAAAAGCATTCCCTTAATCTTCTCCCCAATCCACTAAATAAGAAAATAACAATATTAAAACAGATACAATTACTTGAAAATCTGGAATCTGATTGTAAAAAAAAAACAATTTTTTTAAATTTGAAAAAGTTGGATTACAGTTAGAAATTCATTTTAAATTTTAAAAAATATATACCTGTGGAAACGTAAGACTTCTGTGGCACTGTGCTTTTGTGGTTCAAGGTCACATTTGTGAAGCTTGATTCCAAAATAAAAATATATTATATATTTGTAGGCAACAATAGTACCACCAGAGCACTACAAATGATATATACACTTAGTGCAGTGGTGCATTTCTCTTTTTAGAGCACTTAACTTGACCTACAGTTAGTCGACTCCAAATAAATTATTTACTCACCCTCTTGATTCTCCAAAGTTTTCATTTATTTTTGGAACACACAAACAAAACAGTATTTTTGAGCTAATCTGAGAAATTTCTGTCCCTCTACTGAAGGTCTGTTCACCCAGAACTCTGTGTTTATTATTCAACAGCTCCATGACTTGAACTGTTCTTGTCAGATAAGAGAAACCTATTAAATGTATGGATGCTGAAAATATTGATCCGCATATAAACCGAGTTTACATGTACAGTTGAAGACTGTTAGCCCCCCTGTTAACTGAATTAGCGCTCCTGTTTATTTTTTTCTCCAATTTCTGTTAAATAGAGGGAAGATTGTTTCAGCCGATTTCTAAGCATAATAGTTTTAAAAACCTATTTCTAAATAAGACTTTTTTTATAGGAAAAAATATTATCAGATATACTTTGAAAATTTCCTTGCTCTGTTAAACATTATTTGGGAAAAATTTAAAAAGAAAAAAAAAATTAAAACGGGGCTAATTATTCTGACTTCAACTGTAAATAAGTTCCTTATCAATCGAATAGTATTATAAAATAACCCCGTTTACTATGCAGACATGGAGTGTCTCTGTAAAACATGTATACAAGTATGTATGTGTGTGATTGTGCATGTGTGGTTGTGCGTGCACATATGTGTTCATGTTCGTGCGGGTTTATGTATGTATGTATGTTTGTATGCATGTACAGTTGAAGTCAGAATTATTAGCCCGCCATAGAATTTTTTTCTCTTTTTTTTTATATTTCCCAAATGATGTTTAACAGAGCGTGGAAATTTTCACAGTATGTCTGATAATATTTTGTCTTCTGGAGAAAGTCTTATTTGTTTAATTTTGGCTAGAATGAAAGTAGTTTTAAAGTTTTTAAAAATCATTTTAAGGACAAAAGGATTAGCCCCTTTAAACTATTTTTTTCGATAGTCTACAGAACAAACCACTGCTATACAATAACTTGAATAATTACCCTAACCTGCCTAGTTAACCTAATTTACCTAGTTAAATCTTTAAATGTCACTTTAAGCTGTATAGAAGTGTCTTGAAAAATATCTAGTAAAATATTATGTATTGTCATTATGGCAAAGATAAAATAAATCAGTCATTAGAAATGAGTTATTAAAACTATTATGTTTAGAAATGTGTTGAAAAAATCTTCCCTCTGTTACACAGAAAACAGGGAAATAAATAAATATGTACACTACCAGTCAAAGGTTTGGGGTCATTTTTTTCCCTTATTAATCATTTTATTTAATAATTTAAATAAAAGTATTGTTAGTTAAGGCAGCATTCATTAAAGGTAAAAAAAAAAAAAAAGTTAAATTGTTGAATACTTTCATTTATTAAATGTTTATTTATTACTTATTGTATGTAGTTTAAAATGACATTATTACTCCAGTCATTATTGCTTTTATTACAATTAACATTATTAATAATAATAATAATAATAATAATAAATATTACAGCGTTTTCTGAAGGATCATGTGACTCTGAAGACTGGAGTAATTTACATTCAAATTTAAATTTAGTCATTTAGCAGAGGATTTTATCCAAAGCGACTTACAAATTTTTGGGTACAGTTAGTGGTATATCCAGAGAGGCAATTGCAGATTAGGAAGTGAAGTGGAGACTAAATAGTTGAGTTTTTAGTCGTTTCTTGAAAATAGCGAGTGACTCTGCCGTTCTGATGCAGTTAGGGAGTTCATTCCTCTAGCTGGGCAGATTGAGCGTGAGCGAAAGTGATTTCTTCCCCCTTTGGGATGGAACCACGAGGCGACGTTCATTCACAGAACGCAAGTTTCTGGAGGGCACATAGATCTGCAGAAGTGAGAGCAGATAAGAAGGGGGGTAGCCAGAAATCGCTTTGTAGGCAAACATCAGAGCTTTGAATTTGATGCGAGCAGCAACTGGCAGCCAGTGCAAACGGACTAGTAGCGGAGTGACATGTGCTCGTTTAGGTTCATTGAAGACCACTCGTGCTACTGCGTTCTGGAGTAGCTGAAGAGGCTTGATAGAGTTAGCTGGAAGCCCAGCTTGTAGAGAGTTGCAGTAATCAAGTTTGGAGAGAACAAGAGCTTAAACAAGGAGTTGAGCTGCATGTTCAGATAAGAAGGGTCGGATCTTTCTGATGTTATAGAGTGCGAATCTGCACGATCGAGCAGTTCTAGAAATGTGGTCCGAAAAGTTAAGTTGGTCATCAATCGTTACTCCAAGGCTTTTTACCATTTTGTATGCAGTAATGGTTGCCCCATCCATCTGGATTGAAAAGTTATGGTGTAGAGTCGGGTTGGCAGAAACTACATGCATTTCTGTTTTTGCGAGGTTCAGCTGAAGATGATGATCTTTCATCCAGTGTGAAATGTCCAACAGGCAGGCTGAGATGCAAGCTGGAACCGAGGGATCGTCAGGATGAAAAGAGAGGTATAGCTGGGTATCATCAGCATAGCAGTGGTAGGAGAATCCATGTTTCTGGATAACTGGTCCTAGAGATGACGTGTAGATGGAGAAGAGAAGTGGCCCAAGAACAGAGCCCTGTGGTACCCCAGTGTTTAGATGCTGTAGGTTGGACACCTCTCCCCTCCAAGACACCCTGAATGACCTGTCAGAGAGGTAAGATCTGAACCATTGTATAACAGTGCCCGCAACGCCCAGTGACTCAAGCGTAGATAGCAGGATCTGGTGGTTGACAGTGTCAAAATCAGCTGACAAGTCCAGCAAGATGAGGACTGATGATTGAGTGATTGAGTCTGCTTTAGCCAGTCTGAGATCCTCCACGACCGAGAGCAGGGCAGTCTCAGTTGAGTGGCCTTTCTTAAAGCCTGATTGCTTGTTGTCCATGAGATTGTTTTGAGTAAGAAAGTCCAGGACTTGATTGAACACTACTTTCTCCAGAATCTTGGCCATGAATGGAAGCAGGGATACTGGTCTGTAGTTTTCAAGTAGCGTATGGTCCAGGTTGGGTTTCTTTAGCAGTGGGGTTACCCTAGCCTGCTGAAATGAAGTGGGGAATAAACCAGAGTCAAGAGATGCGTTAATTATGTGAGTCAGTGTTGGTATGACTGCAGGAGAGATGGCTTGCAAGAGATGAGAGGGAATGGGATCGAGTGGACAGGTGGTTGCATGGCTAGATAGCACGAGTTTGGACACCTCAGACTCAGAGAGCTGAGAAAAAGAGGTGAGTTTGTGTGGTGTTGGTGGTGTATCTTGCGTGTTTGTTGTAGGTGCAGCAAATTGAGCACTGATTTAGCAGTTTTGGTGCAAAAGAATGTAGCAAAGTCATCAGTAGTAAGTGTGGAGGATGCGGGTGGAGGAGGAGGATAGAGGAGGGAGGAAAATGAAGCTGAAAATTCATCTTTAAAATTACTTGACTAAATTATCAAATGATAAGCTACTTTTGAACAGTTATTTTTTAGTGCAATAACATTTCACAATTGTACAATTTGTACTGTGTTTTTGAAGGTATAAATGCAGTCTTGGTCAGCAGGAGAAGCTTATTTTAAAACATTTAATAATTATACTGACCCCAAAGTTTTAACCAGTAGTGTATGTACAGTATTTGTGCATGTGGATGTGTGTGTGTTCTGGAGATGAACCAATTTCTTAGGGGTGTGGAACAACATAAGGGTATTTAAATGATTATCATTGTGTCAAATACTGCTTTTGCTGTATGGGAAATTAATTATTCCTCACTGTATTATAAATGTTTTATTTTTTTCCTTCTTTTTCTTTACTGTATTATAGAAGGTTGACACGACCTCGAGGGCAGTATTAGACATTTTGACGAAGACAACGGAGTACCTTCAGCCAAATCCAGGTAATGGAGGTTGTTTTTTTATAGCATATCAGTAATTTAGTAAAAAAAACATGTAATTTAATACATGGTTGTGTCTTATTTGTGCTGTTTATGTAGCAACTCGTGCCAAGATGAGCATGATGAGCTCCATGTCTAAAATTCGTGGAGGAGATAAAGGTCCTGGCTACACACAGACTGAAACAACCCTGGGAGAGGCCATGCAAAAGGCTGGCAGGGAACTTGGCGAGGAATCCTGCTTTGGTAATGCATACTTGGTAGAAAAATGCAAATTATCAGCAATAGTTAGCTCATTTTGCCTCTACAATTTTATCAACAAGCTCATGGTTACATGATTGAATAGCTTAAGTTAAAGATTAAAATATAAACAATTCATCATCTTTCTGCTTTCATGTAAAAAGCAAAAATCCACAGCTATTTGAATTCATTAGTGTCAATAATAGAAACTTGGTAGTATTTAGATGTGTCACAGATTTAACACACCGACAAATCAACATTTCAAACTGCAAGCATAGTTTAACACAAAGCACAACTAAAATGACCAAATAAAGATGTTTCCATATGAGAAGATCATTTGATTTTAAACAGACACATTTCAAGGAAATGATTGGTCAATGACGAATCTGTTGGGTAAAACTATGAGGAACAATTTAGCTTTGCAAGTTCACTGTGGCTTTATCTGTTCTGTCATTACACACGTACACATTTTACACGAAAAAGTATATTATTTATCTGTGCATAATGCTTGCAATTAGTTAAATCGAGTTCAACTGGTAATCAAATATTAAATTATATATTAAATTAAATATATGGCCATTCTTTTTGAATGTATTTTTTTAAATGACTAATCGTATCCAAAACAACAGTCTGCATTCACATAATAAACATTCACAGTACATGCATATATATTATGTATGTAATCATACTATTTCTGAAATACGCATATATGGTTGTACGTGTTTGTTTGTATTCCTATGCATATACATATACTAAATATATGCATACATAAATACAAACTTACATTTTAATCATTTGACAGTACTACTATTGCATGATTGTGAGGCAAATACTAATCACTGTTGGTTGATTAGAGCACTTTTTTATATTGTTATTAAAGGTAAAAAAAAAGAAGTATTATATATATATATATATATATATATATATTATACACACACACACACACACACCAAGGTGATTTCAATTGCAGCCTTTTTCCTAAAACGCTCTTTAGCTACCTATTTAAACCCTACGTTTATGAATACCCTGATGTTTGTATTAAGAAATCTGTGTGTAACAGTTTTGCCTCTGAAAGTAAAACATGTATTGTACTCTTGTGTCTCACAGGGGTGGCTCTGATTGATGTTGGAGAAGCCATGCGAGAGCTTGGTGAAGTAAAAGATGCTTTAGACATGGAGGTCAAACAAAACTTTATTGATCCCTTGCAGAATATTCATGATAAAGACTTAAAGGAAATCCAGGTGAGACATGAAAACTCTTTAAAAGCAATAGTTTTGTCATTAAATACAGTCATCCTGTAAGACTCTTTTATTTTAAAAAAAAATCTTGTTTTGGGACCTCTGGGGGTAAAATTGTAGTTGCTTTTCTTTTGCATAGTGGAATTTCATTGTAGAATAGAAATTACAAAATAGAAAAAATACAAATTAAAAAAAATAGTAAAAAAGTATATTGTTCTGGAAACACATAATCCAGACCTATTTAAATGCTCTGAAATAGTTCTGAGCTGCATTTTAATTCAATTAGTGTCACAGCCTAGCATCAATCATGGCATTTAGTGACTTGCCATGACAACTCATATAAATAGCTCCAGTGCCAATGTTCTGTTTCAGTTGTCACATTTAAATGTGGATTGTTTTTGTGAAGTTGTTGGACTGGGTGTGGGAGAAAACAATATACAGAACGTCACACCCAGCAAAGTGCTTAATCCCATTATGCACATCAGCAAAAAGACCCATTTAATCCCAAGGTTAATTAGGGCTGTATTGGGTTTTATATTTTTAGCCTTTCAACCACAATAATACCATCATTTCTGTGTTATTTGTTCCGTATATACACTCTAATTTCTATAGTAGCTCAAGATGAAGTAATTCAACTTTTGAAAAGGAGTCTCAAAGTGAACATTTTTGAATATTGTACCTTCTCTCAGCTAAACTACACAAGTGTACTTTTCACAAAAAAAACTAGCATGTCATAAACAACCATATTACATTTAGTGTATACTCTTGTGCTAGTTTTTGTGTGCATGCATGTTCATGGATCTGCATGAACGAGGTTCAGTTTGGCAATGTTACTGCTTGTAAAAGTAAAAGAACAGTATTCCCCATAAACAACCATGAATCATTATTTCATGATATTGGTTCAAGGTCTAATTTATTCCGTAATGAATTAAGAACTTTATAAATGAATCATCATTCGGATTCAAAAATAAATCTTTAATTTTAATTTTTTTTTTTTTTATTAATTGCAGTAATTAACAATTCAGAGACTCTAGTAAATAACTTTTATAAAAACAAATTTCTTTGCCTATTCAGAATTGTAGGACAAGCATAATTTATACTTAAACATTTAAAATTTGCTTGTGAATCTTAGATTAGTGGCATGATTATTTAGCCCAATTTTGAAAGTTCACAGTCCCAGCCATTTAAAGAGTTTGTTCATTCAAAAGTAAAAATCATGCTAATTACTCACCCTCATGTCAATCCAAATGAAGAGATTTTAGGTGGAGCTCCCTCATCTTCTGTCAACAGCAAGGTCCCTAAATTGTCCAGAAAGGTAACTTCGATGAATGAAATTCAGCTACAAGAATAAACATAAAAAAAATACATTTATTCAACCTTATCATCAATGTTTGTTTATTGTACACATATATCACCCAAATCCCCCAGTGTCTGTCTACAGCTTCTGCTTTTTGAAACAAAGCATCTGAGTTAATACATCAGTGGCACGACCAAGCACAGTATGTGATCGTGCAACCTTTACCATCACTGAGGAGAAGAAACAGTTGATTAAAGTCAATTTTCTTTATGTGCGCACAAAAGTATTCTTGTAGCTTGAAAATGGGAGCTAAAATCTGCAGGACACCGGCCCTCCAGGAACAAGTTTGGTGACCACTTCTATAAAGGATGAGGGAGCTCTCAGATTTCACCTGAAGTGTCTTAATTTGTATTCAAAAAATTAATAAATATCTCAGGCCGTTTGGAACAACATGAGGGTGAGTTCTGTTAAACTAACGCTTTAATGGAGGCACTGCATTAGAATTAACATTGGTGTGACGGAATGTCACTAGAGGTCAGTAACTGAACAGCAACATTTTCATTTTCCATGTTTCATGACAGCATCACCTGAAGAAGCTGGAGGGGCGACGATTGGACTTTGACTATAAGAAGAAAAGGCAAGGAAAAGTCACAGAGGATGAGATCAAACAGGCCCTGGAGAAGTTTGACGACTCCAAGGAGATTGCCGAACAAAGCATGTTTAATCTTCTGGAGAACGATGTAAGATCTGTGACCTGTCCTGTGCCTGCCCTTGCTCACCATCCATTTCATGCTTCTGTAGACTCTGATTGTACTTTATCTGTGCTTTTTGTGTTATATGCTGTATCCAGTGAGTCTTTCTTTCCTCTTATCTCACAGGTTTCACCCCTTTTCCATTGATCACTGCATCTCATCCAATGGCTATGTTTACATGGTCGGCAGTGTGATTGCTGCCAATACTCAAAGTAATGATTAAGATGTTTACATGACACGGGCAAACCTTTTCAGTGCCGTTTACATGATTCCTGCTATTATTAGGATCATTTGTTAAGAGTTATGATGTTTTTGCTTTAAAATAGGCTCCAAGTGCTCCTGGCGTACATGGACCTGTTGGCCAGTCCAAGGGTACACGGTCTCCCTCTTTTCCTAGAAGCCACACTTCTGGGAAGCTCAGAAATCTGAGATTATGCATATAACATTACATAACATGGGCATCATGTGTTTTATTGGTGATCGGAAATGCCAAGGTGGTATATTTCTGAACATCTAAGAGCATGATGCCAAGAAGTGTGGCTTCTTCTGATCCAGCATGTTTTCGACCCATGCATGAGCGTGTAGTCAGATGAAAAATGCAGTGCTTTACATATTTTACTGTGACTTATGATAACTCCAAACATGAACTTCATCATAACCACAGTATTGTTTACATGAACTCGCTTGCAGTACTTCATGGTACTGTCGTAATTACATTGTGAGGGTGCATGTAAATGTAGCCATTGTTTGCTAGTCTTGAACTTCATATGTGATCATCGAGGCGTTATTTGTGTTCATGTGTTACAGTTAATAATGTTCTAACTGTGTTTCACCAGATTGAGCAAGTGAGTCAGCTTTCTGCTCTGGTCCAAGCTCAAGTCAACTACCATAGACAGGCGGCAGAGATTCTTCAGCAGCTGTCCAGCAAGATCGAGGACAGGTCTGGATCCTAAAACAAACCATAGAGTTAAAAGTTCTAATCTTTAGTAAACAATTTATAAAGGGATTATTCACCCAAAAATGAAAATGTACTCACCCTCATGGGAGGATAACCGGTTTCAAGGAAAAATCTTTGGAAAATTTTGTTATACCATCTAAAGGTTTGTTTGTTTTTTAACGTGTTATCAAATGCTTGCACCTACATCCAAGCATGCTATGGACCTGAAAACAGTGGCTTATTTATATCCAATGAAAAGAAAGATATCCAAAGATGTCTTTTAAAGTTGTAAAGGAACCTGTGTTTCTAAAACTAATGAAGACAGCAAAAGACAATGATTTACTTTATATAGCTTGACTTGTTTATTGTTTCTTCAAATAAATGTATTGGGTTCAATGGGTGGAAAAGTAAAAATTTTTGCAGAGATATTAAAAAACATCAAATTTTAGAGCACTAATCACAACTGTAAAAAACTGTGATAATTTTATCCAAGGTTATCATGCCATCAGAAACCGGCCCATGCCAACCATCAAGTTGTTCCAACCCTTTAGAACTTTCTTTCTTTCTTCTGCTGACAAAAAAAGAACTTTCCAGAAGCATGCTGTAAGAGAAATAAGAAACGTTTTTAAGATTTGGAACAAGTAAAGGGGGAGTAAATAATGATGGAATTTCCACATTTTGGGTGAATTATCCACTTGAGCAAAAAATGATTTATGATCATTTGCTGGCAGTCAGTTTTGTGTTTGTGCCCCTCAAAACTCTTGAAGCCAATTAGCACTCATTCCAAGTCTTCTGAATATAATTAAAATAATATTCAGTAGTTTTCCAGTGCTGGGTTCCAGCTGGGAGGGCATTCGCTACATAAAGCATATGCTGGATAAGTTGGAGGTTCAATCCACTGTGGCAACCCCTGATAAATAAAGGGACTATGCTAAAGGAAAATGAATGCACGAATGAAAGAATAATTTATTTTCTTTTTGGCTTAGTCTCTTTATTAATCTGTGGTTGCCACAGCGGAATGAACCACCAACTTATCCAGCATTTGTTTCACGCAGCGGATGCCCTTTCAGCTGCAACCCATCACTGGGAAACACCCATACACTCTCATTCACACACATACACTATGGACAGTTTAGTTTACCCAATTTACTTATAGTGCATGTGTTTGGACTTGTGGGGGACACCAGAGCACTCTGAGGAAACCCACGCAAACACTGAGAGAACATGCAAACTCCACACAGAAATGCCAACTAACACAGCCGAGGCTCGAACAGCGACATTCTTGCTGTGAGGCGAAATTGCTACCCACTGCCTCACCACACCGCCTGAATGAATAATATTCAAAAAAATGAATAGTCAATACCTGCTCGCTCTATTATGCATATTTCTTATACAGGGGGGAACGGAAGTGCTATGTGGAAACTTCCACTATGGGGTTTTCGTCAGAAACCAATCATCTGAAACAGTAAAAAATCGCCAGCTGTGGGCCAGTGCTCATATCAGCTGAACAGACTCGGGGTGGAGTCGACATTCTCCCGGGGCAAGGAGCTGCCATGAGAGCCCATCGGCTGCACGGTTGAGCTCGCCGAGAATGTGAACAGCAGGCAGTGACTTCAGCTGCGTATGACTTCAGATGCGTATGTTTCGCCAACTGTATCGCAGAGCCGAGTCTGATCGTACAGATGAGCCATTGCAATGGGCTGGTCCACGGTGAGGCAGCGTGGAGTGGGTGGGCTCGCCTAGCACAGGGGTCCCATGGGATAGAGAGAGACTTGCTCTCGTCTCGCACTCAAATTCCGGATGGAGGGGTTGAAAGAGGGAGAGAAAGGAGACCGTTCTCTCGCCCTCTGTGAGCCATTGGCAAAATGCACCGATCCTGCATAAGTCCCAGACTGGCAGTGTTCGGGCTGTTACATCCAGGGAAGGGGAAAAATGCTTTTTCTTTGAGGATTTGATGGCTTTTTTTTATTTAATTTTTTGTCCGTTAAGTGAAGAGCCCCGCCCTCCAGCGGGGAAAGAGCAAATTCCCTCCTCTCCAGATGGCCTGTCTCAGGGATGCTTCGCGGTTCATTTACCAAACTTAGGGCTGGGGGGCTGGTTGCATGCGAGCCGCTTGGCCTGAGGCATAGGCGGGGTGGTTGAGAAAAAAGCTATAGGCGAGCGCCCTCAGCGAAAAGCAGTGGATGTGGATGGCTCGGTGGGAGGGAGTAGTCTTACGATCCCGCCGATAGATTATATACCCATCGCTTCTGACTGCTCCTTCACCGGTGTGAATTCCTGGTCGAGATCCCCGACGGTGTCACCAAACAGGCCAGCCTGGGATATGGGTGAGTTAAGAGAGCAAACTTTGTCAACATCACACACATCACCAGGTTTAGCCTGAGGTGGCGTTCCTGGCCATTAATGTGACCATCGTCCTTCCCAGGGTGCGGCACTCATGCCCTGTCCTGGGTCGCAACCATCCTCGCGCAGCTGGGCCAGCGCCTGCGCTTGGTTGCACTGGTAGGTGGCAATAGTGTGCAAGGTGAGGGTGAAGGCGCACGCAGCACATTGTGTAAGCCTACTGTGTGCATCCCGGAAGAAGGGTTTTCACACCCCTCTAGTCGGTCTGGCCGCGGGGCTGGGGAATAAACCATCTCCAAAGCCACAGCCGAAACAGCCTGGGGAAGCACGGCTACAAAGTCTGCATCTAGATTTGACACCGCGCTCATCAACCCGGAAGGAGAAGCGGACTCAAATCCTCATCAGATATTGACAACCCACCCTCCAGGGATGGTGAGGATGGAAGCGCATGCAGATCGGCCAGAAAAAAAGTGCCCTCAAAACTGCGTGAGCTTACTGTGCATTTCCGGGAAGAAAGGGACGGAAAGCTTTGAAGGTCTTTCCTCCTTATATCCTCCACATAACACCCATCTAGTCGGTCCGGCCGCAGGGCTGGAAGATAAACCATCACCAGGCCAACGGCCTAAGCAGCTTGGGAAAGCATGGCCATCATATCTGCTTTTTAGATACCAACGCTGTGCTCTCCAACCCGGAGGGAGGGAGCGAGCGGGTTCGCATCCTCATCAGACAATGACAGCCCATCCTCAGATGCAGCGATGGACATATGATCCTCAGTGTCATCAAGTGAGAGAGCGACCATCTGAAGACAGGGCACTTCTCTTCACCTGAAGCTTGGATGGAGCGCGTGGAGGAGCGAGAGGTCTGCAGCCTGAAGGAGGCGAATTTACTCCCACTGTAATCCTCAGATCTGCCAACCGCAGTGTGGGGGGAAACTGGGGTGGGCCTCTCTTTTGCAAGATCTTAACTGTGCAACATACATGACATCACAGTGACGGCATGCACTGCCCGCGAGCACTACATTAACATGCTGGACCCCCAGACATGAAACGCTGTGCTCGTGCCCATCATCCGGGGATAGGAAACCACCGCATCCAGAAACGCACGGTCGGAGCGATGTCTTGAAAAAGACGTGCTGCAAAACCGTGCTGCTCTTTTAGAAAAGCTTTTTTCCTATACACAAACCACTCTTGGAGGACCGGACCCAAAGAACGCCAGGCAAGGGAGAGAAACCCAGCTCGACTGTCTGCCACTGCGTATACACGCTCTGGACCGGGAGGAGCTGCTTCTCGATCTCTCCTGTAGACACAGGATGGAGATAACCTCAAAGACTCTCTCAGAAGCTTGTGAAATGCTCTGAAAGCAAAAAAAGGATGTCCAGCATTGCACTAGCCGCGTCTTTATATTATGACTGATTGTCATTAACGCCAGCTGTGCAGGCTGACGCCGCCAACTGGCATTTCATTGGCCTGATTTTTTATTTATTTATTTATTTTTTTTACTCTTTCAGATAATTGGTTTCTGACAAAAACTTCATAGTGGAAGTTTCCACATAGCATTGAAGTTCCCCATTCGAAGGGGAAAGTGTTGTTACTTTGCTGCAGTTGATTTTTCTTCTTTTTAGCTCAATACCAAGATGCAATTTAACAATAAAGCAGCTCTACAAACAGCAATGGTTTAGTTTTACAGACTTTTAAATAAGTCTATGTAAGCAACTTTCATGAATATGACTTCAAAACATATTACTGGTCTGCATTATTTTCAGTTTAGACCTCTAAAACAAGCAGTATAGTCTAAGACTAACCCTAATCTTTGTCTGAAAACCCAGAGGGAATGATGCCCTCACCTTGCTTCATTTAGTTCAAGCAGCTTATCTCATAAATTATATATTCAGCAACTGACTGCTAATGCTCTAACATTCACCTTTATCTTTGTTTTATAAAATCTCGAAGTCACTTTGGAAAATGTAATCAAATGTATTTTTTTAACATTGGGTAACGGAATTATCAATCACACATCAACCTCTTTTGCTGAGAAAATCTGAGAATCCTGGCATTTTTGTATGACACGGGAGGAGTTTTTTTTACCCCGCCTGCACTTGACTCTTGCGGCTGTGTTGCATCACATCAGTGTCACATTTTGAGAATGTTGAGTGAAGTTAAAAGTAGTTCCTATTGTATAGCAACAGGGAATGATTTGACTGTAAAATACCCAAAATCTTACTTTGCATTTAGCTTTAATCAGTAATTTTTTTATGTATTTTAGTGACATTTACAAAATAAATATGAAAGCGCTTACAGTAAAATGGAAATATTACCTTTAACACTCAAATGAAGATATTCCTAGTGAAATTTACCCAAAGCTCAGACCATTTAAAACCAGTGTTGGGGTAATGTGAGTTACATTATAATATTACTTTTCTAAGTAACGAGTAAAGTAACAAAATAAAAAGTGATAATATTTGAGTTAATACTTTGAAAATGTAATGCAAGTTACTTTTTAGTTTAATTATTATTATTTTCTTTATAAATTCCTAAATTAAAATGAAAGTAGTCACAATGAATCACAGTCAATGAAAGAATGTTTTTAATATTTTGAACACATGGAAGAAAAAGAAAATGGGATTGTCTCAATGCACAGTGATTTTACCTAAGACAAATAGTGCAAGTATCAAACACATTGCTTTAAACTTACAGAAATCTGTTTATACACCATGTAGAGTTCTGAGAAGTTCTCAGATATCATTATCCTAAAATATTTGTTTTAATGTTTTTTTTTTTTAAGTTTTATAAACTAATTTTGAGAGGAGCAGGTGATATGATGGATCACGGCTGGCTTCTCATCCGTAATCAGTAATAATTCAATCAGATTGATAGTAATGCAGCTAGTGACTTGGTAGTCCATAGTCTACAGAACAAACCATCGTTATACAATAACCTTAAATAATTACCCTAACCTGCCTAGTTAACCTAATTAACCTAGTTAAGTCTTAAAATGTCACTTTAAGCTGTACAGAAGTGTCTTGAAAAATATCTAGTAAAATATTATTTACTGTCATCATGGCAAATATAAAATAAATCAGTTATTAGAAAATGAGTAATTATAACTATTATGTTTAGAAATGTGTTGGAAAACATTTCTCTCCATTAAACAGAAATTGGGGAAAAAAATAAACAGGGGTCTAATAATTCAGGGGGGCTAATAATTCTGACTTCAACTGTATATATTAAAGTTAACTAAATCCTTTTATTAATCCAAAATTCTTAAATGCAAGAAATTTTGATTCAGTTACTAATCACTGTTTAACTCGTTAAATGATGTAATCCACTAACATAGTTTAACAAAAACAAAGTTGACATTTTCCACCATTTTGTGCTTTAGTTCACGATTCAAACCTCCAACCAGACATTGCATTATGTCTAATCTATTATTTCATGTGTTGTCATCATTTTTGTTTTTGTTCAAAAGGTGAATGGACAACTGACTGAAATTTCACAACAGACTTGACAAATAGTTAATCTACTATTGGTCTATTACATTTTGTATTTCATTTTGTAATTGATGACAGAAAAAAAAAATGTCGTGCCTTAGTGCCTTCAAGCGTTTCCTGCCAGAGTAATTGAAATCACTTGGAGCAAGTCACATGCTTTCTCTATCAGTGCTTTACAGATTGTTCTGCTTTTTTATAAACGATGTAACAGAGTTAGCCAAAATGTAGGGACAGACACAAAATGTATTTTCATTTATTGAATTTACAATGATACAAAAAATATTTTTTCATGCAAATGTTTAAATTGTTTTAAAATGTTCTCCCAATTCTAGAATTATAATATTATTAAATAAATAATTAAATGTGTTTTACTAAATTATGAGAACTTCTCCTTCTCTTCTTTTCACAGAATAAGAGAGGCATCTTGTAAGCCAAAAAGAGAGTATGTGCCCAAACCTCGCACCTCTTTGGATTTCAGTGAGAATCACAATGGGAGTATTGGCCACAGTGGTCCTTCTCGTTCACCAGGTAAAGTAATACTATTAATAATTTGAATGTATAAACCTGAGGGTTTTTTGTGTGTGTGTGTGTGTGTGTGTGTGTGTGTGTGTGTGTGTGTGTGTTTATGCTAAAGAATGTATCTCGTTTGTTTCAGCTCCAATGGACCAGCCTTGCTGTCGGGCACTTTATGATTTTGACCCAGAAAATGAGGGTGAGCTTGGCTTCAAGGAAGGTGACATCATCACCCTAACCAGCAAGATTGACGACAACTGGTATGAAGGAATGGTGAACGGGCAATCTGGCTTCTTCCCCGTCAACTACGTGGATATCCTGGTAGCTTTGCCTCATTAAGTTTCCTGCATGCACCTAACCGTGACCTGACCAATCAAACCAGTTCTTCAACGAGAGCAAAAGTCACCAAAACAAACAGCACAAAATGCTCTGTTATGGTTATTTGCGCATAGAAAATAAGCAGTTATGAGTGCCCTTTCACAAAATACTGTTCCTGACTGGGAATGCCACTATTTTGTTGTATTATTAATTTATTCAATGTATTTTATCTTCTCTTTTTTGAGGTTGATCAGACCTCTGCATTGCCTGCTGCTATGCCTCCTGTATGTTCAGACGTTGTGTGTGTTTTATTCTTTTTTGCCTGTTCCTATTCGCAACAGCAAATCATGATTGGTCTCTTTATCACACCGTTTGAAAAAAGAAAATGTGTAAAATAAAATATCTCTCATTTATTTTGGTATTATCTAGCGTAATGTTTAAGTGAATGATGATGGCAGACAAACATTAAGAGTTGTTTCCTTTCTTCATTACTTTGAAATTGCAATAACTACACAACCAATATCTGTTCACACCTTTAATGGTCATAGAGTGAAATGTTCCACTGTTCGTTTAATGTCCTGCAACTGGTTTTAGCCTTTAAGTGGTGTTAGATTTGACTATTTAAATAGATAAATATTTATCAACAAAGAAAAAAAAAAAAAAACAAAGATGAGGAAAGTTCTGTGACTCATTTATTTGTTGTGTTACAGTGTATTTTCAGTCACGTAAGATTCTGTATGGCCTATAAATAGCATGGGCCTTTTTCAGCTTTCCATATCACATTCCATAGATGTTAAGCTGGTCACCTAAACACAACCCAAGAACCATTTTATGAAACATTGTATGCGTGTGTACATATATATGAATATAATAATGCCTGAGTGTGGTGATTTCTGAACCCATAAAACTGTGCTTATATTTATTTTATGTTTTTCTTTTCTTGCTTTAGTAATGAAGTGTGTAATTTTTGCGCAAATAAATACAAATGTAAAAGAAATGACAACCATTTTCCACACTCCACCATATGCCATTGAGCCAATAGTGTTTACAGTCAGATCAACAAATAAGAGAAAGTATTTCAGCATTGCAAGAGTTACACACATCATCCCCTTGTTAAATTTGAATAAATTTCCGATTGTAAATGATATATAAATATAATGATGTAATACGGTCTAAAAATTCACATACAGATCAATATACATTCTTAAAAAGGTTTAATGTATTATTAAATTCTCCTTTATATATATATATATATATATATATATATATATATATATATATATATATATATATATATATATATATATATATATATATATATATATATAAAAGCATAGATTGTATTGACAGGACATTCCAATCTTTTCTGAATTGTGTCATTCTCCTCAATGAGGTCTGTACAGACATTCTTGCGTTTTATTTCCTGTTTGTGTATAGTCATATAACTATAGTACCATGTGTTATTTTTGGATCAGTGTTAAAGATTTATCATTAGATAGAAATCAGGCACTGGAGTGAAACGTGCTGGGGGAGTGTTTATTCGTGAAGCGCTACATATCAACTCCTCTTTAGCATGAATTTTTCAGTGGCTCATCTGAATGAAGCTTGTGCTGAGAACGAAAAAAAAATGTGCAACTACAATAAATACAACCGTTGAATGATGCATGTGGAGTGTGTGTATTTTGTTTCATAACCAGTAGGGGATGCTGCCACAACACAAACTGAATATTCTGTGTGAAGCTGAAATATCTGTGCATATCAGGCACAGTTTATGTGTGGGTATAATATTATACATTTGGACCCGTTTTATATTGTATACAATATATTTATATTTATATATATATATATATATATATATATATGTGTGTGTGTGTGTGTGTGTGTGTGTGTGTGTGTGTGTGTGTGTGTATATATATATATATATATATATATATTATATATTATATACACACACACACACACAGTTGAAGTCAGAATTATTAGTGCCCCTGTTTATTTGTTTCCCCAATTTCTATTTAATGGAGGGAAGATTGTTTCAGCACATTTCTAAGCTTAATAGTTTTAAAAACTTCTTTCTAAAAACTGATTTATTTTATCTTTGCCATGATGACAGTAAATAACATTTTACTTCATATTTTTCAAGACACTTTTATACAGCTAAATGTATAACAATGTTTTGCTCTGTAAATTATTTTTTAAAAAAATAGCTTAAAGGGGCTAATAATTTTGTCCCAAATTTTTTATTTTTTTTGTACATAATAACTGCTTTTATTCTATCCGAAATAAAACAAATTAAAAAAATGTATCAGACATACTGTGAAAATTTCTTTGCTCTGTTAAAAATCATTTGGGAAATCATTAAAAAAGAAAAAAAATCAAAATGGGGCTAATAATTCTGACTTCAGCTGTATAAATATATATATATATATATATATATATATATATATATATATATATATATATATATATATATATATATATATATATATTTTTTTTTTTTTTTTTTTTTTTTTTTTCAGTGTAGTCTGTTTATATGTATATATGTATCACATGATTTATGCCTAACTTAGAAAACACCTTAAAGTAATGATTAATACCTTCCTTAGTTATATCTGTTGTAATATTTACAACAGAACCATGATGTTTGCACCTAACTTTGTTTTTTATGGATATACAGTTGAAGACAAATTTATTATGACATTTTAATTATTTGAAAACTATTTCCATTTCACCTCACAGCAAGAAGGTCACTGGTTTGAGCCTTGGCTGGGTCCGGCTTCCCCTACAGTCTAAAGACATGTGGTACAGGTGAATTGAGTATGCTAAAATTGACCGTAGTGTGTGACTGAGTGTATGGATGTTTTTTATTTACCCATGAAACCCATCAAAATTACCCAGTGATGGGTTGTGGCTTTAAGGGCATCATTTGTTGGCGGTTCATTCTGCTGTGGCGACCCTAGATTAATAAAGGGACTAAGCCGAAAAGAAAATGAATGAAACTATTTCCCAGGTGCTGTTTCCCAGTTTTATTAACTAATTTCTAATAACTATAACTTTATTTTGTCTTTGCCATGATGACCAAGATAATATACAGCTTGCTATTAAAAAGCTCAACTGTAATTAGGTGAAGGTTTTTATTGTTGTTGTTGTTGTTGTTGTTGTTATTGCTTTAATTCCAGCTCAACTTAAAGAAATACGGCTTTTTTCCGGAAGAAAATTTCCTTGTTGTAAACATCACTTGGTAAATGTTTCACAAGGCTAATAATTTTGCCTTTTCTAAATGTACATATCAGTCAAAACAACTAATATTATACAAATTTTTGAAAGCTAGAGATCAGAGATCAAAATGACACTTGAAAAGTAATTGTACTTACTAAGAAATGCTATATTTCATTCTGAAAGAGCAGTTTGAATTAATGATGAGTTTCTTACTGGAAGGGGAAAAAAAAAGTCATTTAACTACCATTAATCAAAAGTTATGTTCAGACCAAACATAATCAAAATATTTGTAATAAGCGTGCAAGTTTAAATAAACCATTAAGGTAAAGGTTTTTTAAACATTGGCATTTTTGAACATTACAGTGGCAATACTTTTAAAACAAACATCGTTCAGTCCAGTGTGAAATGTTTGTTTAATCTCCTAAAACAAATTTAGTATCTTCTGTATGCTTCTCGTCAAGCTTTCTTTTTCGAAATTTCAGCATGCTAAGACAAAAAATATATAATATTATTAAATAAATACATTATAAAGTAATAGTGCGTATTCACAGTACTGTGCAAACTCTTTTAGTGTAGTGTATCAGCAGGAAATATCACTTTACATTTCCAAATTTTTTTCTATTAATTGTAATAATCCAGAGAGGTTTTTGATTGCAAAGGGAGTTTGACAGAAAATAGTGCTCCACACTGAGTCCGTCTCATCCAGTCTGACTGGAAAACAATTTAAACACAAATGATGGTTACACCAAATATCGATTTCATTTAGTTAATACAAACTAATTGATATAAATGGATGCATTTAAAAAAAAAAAAAAAGAAAAAGCATCGCATTTTTAAACAATTTATTGGACTGCTGTCAGACATTTTCTGCAAACAAAAATCTCACTGGATTGTTGCATATAAGAGCAAAATGATGTAAACTGATATTTCCTACTGACACACTACTGCAAAAGATAAAAATGTTAATACATCTGAACAGTATTGAATATGTTAGTAAAATTTGGATTTGTACTGTATTATTAGTTATTGAATAACTTTTTTCAAATGTACATATTTGTTTTATTTTATCAAATTTTAATAACATTTCTTTCAAATAAAAAAATGTAACTTAGAGCTGCACTTTTGGTGAGAAAGTGTTCATTTGTTGTGACTAAACTTCAGTATTATTTAAAAATTGTGACTTCCAAATTTTTCTAAAACAAACAAACAAAAAAAAAAGTTTTGTGTAGCCAAAAAAATAAATAAACAAAACAAATATAAACATGCTTTGGAGGAAACATATTTTAACATATTTTAAAAATGTTTTAATCAAACAGATAACCATAAATTGTAAATTGTAAACACAGGGTATTTTTCCATGTGTCCTACAATTGTATTTATAGAGTGATATAAATATTACAATTACATGGGTTCTCACTTGTACTAGTAGCCATAGCAGCAATGATGCATGAGCTACAAGAGCAAATTCTTGGCTACAAAACTCTATCAGTTGTAACAACAGATTTTGTTAAGTTCATCAGTGAAATATTTTACCACCAACCCCAAGCAAATATAATTGTTTTATATTGTTGTTGTCTACATAGATCAGGGGTGTCCAAACTCAGTCCTGGAGGTACGGTCTAAAAACTTTCTTGCAGATTTTAAGCAAGTTAGAGCTAAACTCTCAAGACAACAGACCTCTATGACCAAGTTTGGCCACCCCTGATCTATAGATCTTGGAAGAGAAAGACTAAAATGACAAAAATGTTTGGGTTTGACCTAACCAGGGCTCATGAAACCAGCACACACAAATAGTGTTCAGTTGTTGATACTAGAGCATATTTAATTCAGCTTTTATAATGCTACATTTTACCCCTGTGGAAACATTTCACCTATCTCAGCATGTCTGAATTGTAACATTTCACTTCTCCTGTTTGAAACTAAACTATGCATTTTCTGTTTGTGCGCAGCAAATATAACATACAGTTAAAGACAAAATTATTTTTCTTTTTCAAATGTTTCCCAAACGTGTTTAACAAAGCAAGGAATTTTTTCACAGTATTTCCTGTATTGTTTTTTTCTTCTGGAGAAAGTCTTATTTGTTTGTTTTTTTAGGTAAAATAAAAGCCATTTCGAATAGTTTTTAAAACCATTTTAGTGCAAATATAATTAGCAATAACTTAAAAAATACCAATACTTAAGCAATATATATTTTTTAGATTGTCTACAGAAAATAATTATCCTCATACAATGATTTGCCTAATTACCCAAAACCTACTAATTAAAATATAGTTAAGCCTTTCAATTACACTTTAAGCTGATTACTAGTCTTTTGAAAAATATCTGATGACATATTATACTGTAATCATGGCAAAGATAAAACAAATACAAAAAAACAAATCAGTTATTAGAAATTATTCATTCATTCATTTTCTTGTCGGCTTAGTCCCT